GCTTGTGTATAAAAGCTGGGTCCACTTGCAGGGAATCAGGAGTGTCTGTCTGTGGAGTGCACTCCACAGAGCTTCCTGGTTCAGGGCAGACCTCCTGACTCTACCTGGAGCTGGGCCCTGGTCTGTTTAGACCTTTGCGAATGCGGGACGATCGGCTGAGAGTCGCCATGTGGTCACCTTTCTCTTACGTGTTCAGCTTGCTGGTCTGGCTGGTTCCCATGCCAACTGTGGATAACCTCGGGTCTCTGTTTGTACCACCTGTTGTGGGCCGAGTTACGTCCTTTGTGAGATCGTTGGGGGTGGCGTCGATCATGTACCAGCTGATTGATCTGTTTGTACCCCCAGCGATCATTCATGGAATGTCCTTCTTGTCTACAATACAGTCTGTGTATTGGTTCATCTTCCTTCTGGTGGCATCATTTTTGTTGGGCCTGGTCATTGGCAGAACACATGACAAGTTTGAAAAGTTGTTTTAGGTTTCAAAATCACCAACAGATTCCTGAGGAGTTTGGGTGGTTTGAATTCCCCTCCAGTCTTTCTGTACCTATATATGAATGGCACACTACCCATTCCTTTGCTGTTTGAAGAGAATGCTACCAACAGTTCAAAAATTACTACTGTAATTTTCCCATAAAGCAGCAAGTTACAAAATTTCATTTATAATACTGATTTCTTCAAATGTATTTGTTTGCACTGTTTTCAGATTTGACCCATAGAGTTACAGGGAAAAAAACAGCTTTATCATTTCTTTAGCTTTGGGTTTCCTGATTAGATATGGCTGAGATGACCAATCTTAAAAAGAATACCTTTGACTTCACCTGATCAAACAAGTTAATGGTACAGCACTTCTTCCTCTCTCCCCTTAAGTACTTCCCTGGCCATAATTTTGGAACACTTGGTAGCAATTCTTGTTCCATTTGACCTAGTTAGGTCCAATCAAACGGGTAATCCTTTCAGGTGAAAGAAAAATCAAATACATAAAATCAAATACATTCCTCTACATACCCACCCCCCCATCTTCCACAATTTGTCTCCTTCCATCACTTTCTGTGTTAAAATTGCTCATCTAGCCTTTCTGCAGGCCAAACAGCATCTTTAGTGTACCTATTTCAGGTATTTTTTTCTTCCAACTGCTTCTCTTAAAGCTTTATAAAGAGTCATTTTTGGGTGGGTTGCAGACACACTCAATTCCTGCATATGCTTTCTAAGTATATTTGAAACACACTGTAGTCAATAATTTAAAGCACATCTTCTTAAGAACACTTCACATTAGAGCCTAATAGGAAATTTGTATGTGCATGTCAATTCTGTTAAATTAGCTACCTTCTTATGTACTTAATTGGTCTCTAAGTGACAAGTGGGTTTGTTTGGTTTTAATTCATTAACTTCATCAGAGATTAAGTGAACAGCTCTTGCTTATTTTGCTCAAAGATGTTAGACAAATGAATCTTGCTCCATGTTTGAAAGTTTAATTTAGCATATACAAAATCTCTAGCTTGTTCTGAAATAAGTGTGTGACTTCAGTTGCTAAACCTCAATTGCCTTGATCTATCAAAAAAAACCATAAAAAAATGTCAAAGTCTTTCAATATCAGTTGATAAAATTACCCAATTCACATCTGTTAATTCACAAAGTATATCTTTACCACACTAATATGGAAAGCAAAGTGTCATACTGGTATAAAAGAGTACAGTCTGTAATGATGACCATTCAGTTCCTATTTCACCCCTGTAATTTCAAGAAAGCAAGACACTTGAGCTGTTATCCTCCTTTCACATCTAAGGGAAGGAATTTGGTCTGTTTGTTTTTTTTACCTGTTTGGGGTTTTTTTAGTCCGTTTGGTTCATGGGTTTGGTGTTGTTTTGGTTTTTGATTTTTTTAAACAGATAAGAAGTAAATTCTGTGAACACCTGTTTGTTCAGATATCACTACTTTCATCTGAGCTACACATGTGAGTAAAGGTTTCAAAAGAATGAAATTACTGACTCAGAGTGCTTTTTGAACAAGATTTTCCAGTTAAATGGTTGCTTGCATTACCACTGCAAACAGTTTATTTTGCCATTCACAATTTCAGAATCTATAAGCTCTCTTCTGCTATATGTTACACAGACTCATCAAGATAGAACAGTTCAAGATAAAACACTGTTAAGAAACAAAGAAAATGCTAGAGAGCTCATGGAAGGGACTTCTCATAAACAGCATTCCACATGCTGGCTCAGAACACATTGCTATTATTCTTCAGTATAGGCTGCTTCTAAAAAGAATCAGTAATATTGGGTAAGAGATTTCAAAGTGTCATGATTTATTTCTGTAGCTTTTATTGACGTTGTTGGAGTCTTGGTATAGTCTCATTCCCTCCAACCTCTCATCAGAGTTTACCCTGTACACTCTGATAACAGGCAGATTCACATAGTTTGAGACCCAGAACACAGAAACACATGGAGTAAGCTAGTATTACATGGAAAAATGCAAAATCAAGTCACCTGAAATATCATAGAGGAGTCAGTATTTTAATTGCTATTAGTACACCCTGTGAATCTGGAACCAACATGTGAATCTCAATAAGGCAAACATTTACACAACAAGTGAAAGTGTCTGTCAGATGCAGACCTAAGGCAATTTCTAAAGAGATGAGGATAGCACAGCCAAACAAACAGCCCCAGTGTTGTGCAAGTATATGCCTGACTTTCGCAGTTGCAATGCTGTAGCAAAAAAAAGCAAAATGATACTGGATTTAACTGAATCTGAGCATGTTGAGTGCATTGCTAGAGACCAGACACTTGGTACTGTAGCTCAACCTCTCCCTTTAAAGATCATATTTAGCAGTAATCTGTATCAATGCCTTAAAAAAAAAACCGAACCAAAACAGTGGAAATCAAGCTTAACAAAGTACAGTACTAGAGATTTGTTGTTGAAAGAGCTCTCTGGCTTGTTTTCTCTCCCACTCCTTTCTGCCTGTTTTGGACACAGCGTGATGGTTTTTCAGTGCCCGTTTCCCAGCGCTGTGCTGAGCCTTCTGTACAGGTTAGCTTTGCTAGGTCATTCAACAGCTTGAGGTAAAACCTACAAATTCCTTCAAGGTAGACAGGTGTTCCTGAAGATCTTGGCCAAGAGGCAAACAAAAGTTGAACTGTGACTGCTTTGCTGTATGCTAAATTATTTCTTTGGCTTCTGTTTACACAGACTGAAGGTTTTCATATCGAGTTAATGAACACAATGTTCAAGATCTTGGTTGGCACTTGAACAACAGTAGGTAGACCAAAGGAGTATGGGAGATCTTGGGATCTAGCCAGTAAAATATTAATCAGAAGTGAAATCCTGCAAGTTGTTTTGCTAACAAGAGACTAGGGAGTAGGAATTGAGAACATCATTACTAATTAGTGGATAATAGGAATATCATAATGCTCATAGGCATTTATGAATACAAAGTGAATAAGTATTAAAGGCATCAACAGAGGAGATTAGTGACATGATCACAGAATGAGAGATGTGCAGATGAGCAGTTAGAACACTGCAGGCAGGGTACCGGGAAACAAAGAGTCTACCTCTTAGAGTGGAATGCAAGATGCCAAAATGAACTGGTAACACCTGAAAATCTATTTCCTTTGATCTCTCCTTCATGACAGCCAACTGCCATCTCTGATTGCAAGAAAGAAAATACACAATAATGGGAAAGGACAGCATTGGTTTTGGACCACTAGAGTAGTACTATGGTCAAGTGTAATAAAAAAAGACCAAAGGGCAGTGATAAATGCTTCAAAAGTAATTAACTAGTGTGTTTGCTCTGAAGCAGAGGACGTTGCTGCCTAACATTTAAGTTAGTTAATAGGGATGGCATTTTTTGAATCAGCTTTTTGAAACCTTGTGAGTTTATTACCAAGCTATAAGAGTGTTTCTGGAGATCAAATTGAGCTTTAGGACAGTTTTGTTAGAACTTTATGCGTAGAAAGGAAAACGATGTCTGCAAATGCACCAGGGAGAATCAAATTTGTGAACAAATGAGAGAAGAAACTGGAAGCAGGAGAGAAGAATCTGACAGCTTTTCATTTTGCACGTTATTTT